TTGGCCTTTCAACCAATTTCCAAGTTTTGTTTTGCTTTAACCTTTCTATTTCACGATTCAGTGCCATCTTCCAGCTTTCAGCTTTACTACTTTGTAGCGCCTCCTCAACTGTACTTGGAGTATTTACATCGCAATAATTAACATAAACATGCTGAGTTACAAAATCACTATTTGCATACCTACTATTTGGTTTTCTTTCTCTCGACGAACGTTTAAGTTTTATTTCATCCTTTTTATTTTTATGTTCGTCCGTATTTGTGCTTTCTTCAGACTCACTTTCTAATTCTGATTCTATACTACGGTAATTCTCGCTTTCACTTTGGCTCAATTCAGTTTTACTGTCATCAATTTCATTGTCGTTAAAGCCTATACACTTTACACTTTCTTTTACAACATCGACATGCCTTGCATTAACCACTTTGTTACTTACTAAAACTCTATAACCTACTTCAGTTTATCCCAACAACACTCCTAACTTAGCTTTATCATCCCACTTTGACTTTCTTAATTGTTCTGGTATTCTAACAAAAACTCGACTGCCATACATTTTTAAATTGCTTACATTTGGTTTTTCTCCAAAAAATATTTCGTATGGCGTTTTTTGTGCAACAGTGTTAGCAAGAGTTCTATTTTTTAAGTAAGCTGCTGCTTTTACGATTTCAGGCCAATAGGTTTTATTTACTTTGGCCTCAACCAACAAACACCTTGCAGTATCCATAATTGACCTATTATACCTTTCTGCTACTCCATTTAACTCATGAACATAAGGTGGACATGGAATCACACAAATACCCTTTTGTCTAACAAACTGGAAAACACTTGCATTTAAATATTATTTGCCGTTATCACACACAAGATTTTTTACTTTCTTACCAATTAAATTTTCAACTTGGTTAACATAATCTATGAAACAATCACAAACTTCAGACTTTGACTTAACACAATAAACTTTAGCTAGTTTGCTATAGTCATCTATAAATGACAAAAAATATTTTTCCCCATAATTGCCTTTTGTTGAATGAGGTCCGTTTAAATCAATATGTATGATTTCCAAAATTTCTTTTGCTTGCTTTCTGTTATTTTGGAACGGTAAATTACACATTTTACTTTGTATGCAAGTTGCACACTTCATATACTCTGATTCTATTTCTTTAGGTAAGCCAATCAACAACTTATTTTTACACAACGTACTTAAAAAATTGAAATTTACATGACCTAACGTACGATGCCACTTTTCTTTTAAAGTCATTTTTCTACTGCCTAGATTTGTTGCCAAACTAGTTTTTACTTTCTTACCACACACAATAAAACTTGTCATATAATACAAATTGCCGTTCTTTTTTGCAATTGTGATTAACTCTCTATTCTGATTGTAAATTTTAGAAGTATTGCCAAATAAAACCACCTTATTTTTTACTGTTACTTTAGAATAACTGATCAAATTTTGTTTCATATCTTTAACATAAAACACGTTATACAAAATTATTTTACTTTTTTTGCCATGGACTTTAAAAAATGTAGTTATTTGACCTACTTTTGTTGCTGTCAACATATGACCATCTCCTAGCTTTACACTGATCGGTTTTTTTAAAACCACACATTCATCAAACAACGAGTCATCATTAACTACATGATCAGTGCAGCCGCTATCAAGTATTCAGTCTACTTGATTTTCACCTAACCTTACATTTTTACTTATTTCCGACGAATTTACTTGAGCAATAAAAGAATTTCCGCACACACAAAGATCATTGTGTTGATAATCCCACGACGAACTGGCCGCCCCTTGGCCTCTACCTCGATTGTACCTTCCACGTTGAGAACCGCGACCACGGGGTACACCTCTTTGTGCGTTACGTCCTCTTCCCGTACCTTGTAAGAGATAGCAATCCCTTTTTTGGTGTCCAGGTTTTCCACAGTGAAAACACTTTCCGGTCATGTCTGTCGAAAAAACGCTGGATTTTGTTGGACTTTCCTTATTTTCTTCAGTTTGACTTGTTTTCTCAATTGATTTTAGCTTGATTTTACTTTTTAAATATTCGACTGTTTGTTCTTCTTGAGGCAGGACATCAATCAAATCTCCAATGTGACTATAAGATGATGGAAGTCCTTTCAACATATAACGTAACTTTTCTTGTTCCGTGATTTTAGCGCCTGACGCCTTGAGTTCATTTATTGCCTTCTCAAAACTATCAAAGAACGACGTCACTTCAGAGAAATCCTTTAATTTAATGCCTTCCAAGTTATTTCTACATACTATTTGCAAAGCTGTAGATTCCTTGAAATACATTGCGTCAAATTTTTTTATTATTTTGTACGCTGAATCAAGATCACTTATATACTCTAACTGTTTGTTTGAGATTGCGCTGTATATATAATTTGTGGCTTTTACATCGGCTTCTCGCCACTCTTCTGTGGTAACCTCATTTACACTTTCTCTTATTGCAACATCCTTACATTTTTTAAACTCCAAGAAATTCAATATTCTTTTCATCCAGTTTAAATAATCGGATCTGTCAAAAATTAGCATAGTAACATCGTCAACTTTCATGTACGCCATTATTTCTTTGTTTTTCAACGTGCTTCCTCTTTGTGACTAACAAGGGAACCTCGCGAACCCGAAAATTCTGATTTTGATGAAACTTTGCACACATGTAAGGGAGGTCAATAGATGAGTATTGACATTTTCCGTTGCTGCTGAAAAACGGTTTTAAGGGATGAAATCACCCCTCATATGTAGA